ACTTGACTGCTAACCAGAAGGCTGGCGGTTCAAACCCACCAGCCACTCCTTGGAAGGAAGGTTGGGCAATCTACTTCCGTAGTGATACTGCCTTGGAAACTCAAGTAGGTGTCGCTATGAGTCGAGTTTGACTCGACGGCATATAATAACAACAACAACAGTAGATATTGGTGTTTATTTGTATTGTTTTGAATCTCAGGACTTAGACTCTCGTAGTCTTTGACTAGAGAGGGTGATAACTGGCTTAAAATAAATGTTTTAGTCTGTAATAATTGGCCTTAGTGGAAATAGGCATTCATTTGTACAGTAAGCATTGGTGAACACATGTAATACACAAGATAATGATACTAGGCAGTGGGATACAGAAATGACTAGAGAGACTTCCGGTAAGATGGCAGAATAGGCAGATAAGCTACACAAACCCTCTTCATCAAAGAAAGGAGAAACCAATTGACAGTAATACAAAAGATAATCTTGGAGCCTGAGCTTTGAAAGGAAGTATACAGAAGTGGATTAGGCACCAACTAAGTGGGAAAACCTGAATGAAAACAGTGAGTTCAGAGATGGTCAGAGCAGCAGACTGTCAGCTACTCTGATGAGACCATAGCTTGAATATTTCCAAGTGGTGTTGGCACCTGAAAATTGACCTAAAGATCAGCCCTGGTCGCCAAGGGCTACAGAGTCGACTGCATTGGTGGCCTGTGACCAGGAAGGGAAACAGCACGGATGGAGACAGCCTGAGCTGTGGACTTTTAGCTCTTCAGAGGGAGTAGCCATTTTGAATGTTTATAAACGGCAGCCATTTTGGATATTTAAAGTGACTGAGGTCGCAGCCATTTTGAATGTTTACAGGCAGCAGCCATTTTGGATTTTAGAGAGACAGCATTCTCATTTGGATTCCAGGGACCTAAAAATAGACTCCGTTTGCCAAAGACAGCAGGGACATATAGGAGGCTGACGATGGGAAAGGAGACAGGTGATGAGTGTATTAGTGCTGCCAACCAGCAAATAAAGGAGCACAGCACAGCACCCTGCTTACGTAGATAACATACAAAGAACATGAAAATCGTGGTAAAGTCATTCCAACATACAATCACCAATTAAACATAAACACAAAAACTTCACAGTGCCTCGGAGACAACAGAGGATCACAGTCCACACAAAGAAGCAAGATAAAGCAAGAGAAACAAGGGACCAAGATACAGAGCCAAATCACATCTCTGAAGATGACACAGCATTAGAACTCCCTGATAAGGAATTAAAAAGAATTATATTTAGGTGTCTTCAGTGAATTGAGAGCCAAATCAAGGAAAACACTGACAAAATTGAGGAAAACTCAGAAAAAACCCTACAAAAATTTCACAAGACAATACAAGAACAAAATGACAAAATAAGTGAAAAATTAGAAATGATTCAAAATCTACACACAGAAATCCAGAAGATTAATACTAAATTTTCAGAAATAGATAGATAATTGAATGGGCAAAGGAGTAGAATTGAATCAAGGGGAGGTAGAATTAGTGAGACTGAAGGCAAATACCTCAGTACTTCTTTGGAAAGGGAATAATCAGAAAAAAGATCAAAGCAAAATGAAGAAAGCCTAAAGTTCATGTGGGATACCATCAAAAGGAATAACCTACGTGTAATTGGAATTCCAGACAGGGAGAGACAAGTAAAATCACAGAAGAAATTGTTGAAGATTTGTTGGAAGAGAATTTTCCTGGTATGATGAAAGATGAGAATATATCAAGAAGTCCAATGAACCTCAAACAGGATAGACCCCAAAAGAAAGTAGCCAAGGACATATCATCATCAGACTCACCAAAACCAAAGACAAAGAAAGAATCTGAAAGTGGCATTGGAAAAATGAAAAGTTACCTACAAGGGGCAACCAATAAGACTAAGATTGGGTTTCTCTCTCAGCGGAAACCATGCAGGCGAGAAGACATCGGGTTGGTATATATAAAACCCTGAAAGAGAAAAATTTCTAGCCAAGAATTATGTACCCAGAAAAATTATCCCTCTAATATGATGGTGAAATTAGGACATTTCCAGATAAGCAGAAATTAAGGAAATTTCTTAAAACCAGACCAACCTTACAAGAGATGCTAAAGGGAACTCTTTGGATAGAGAAACAACAACAGCCAACAACAACTAGACCATTAACACACATGATAATATAACCCAGAAACTAACCCAGCTATGGAAGTATCCAAAATAAATAAGCCTACAAGATTGTAAACAGTCAACCAGAGACATCAGTTGACAAATGAGGACAACTGCAAACCAAAAAGAGGGAAAAAATTGTGTGGTTATAGAACTTCTAAATGGTATGGAAGTCAACACAACTGCAAGATAGAGTGGACTGTTCTAAACTTGGGAAGAAAACTATAAATCACAGGGTAACCTCCAAAAAAAAATGCTAAACCTTCACATCAAAATATAAAAAAGGACCAGCATAAATATGTAGCAAATACTAAAACAGTAGCAATGAAGGAAGTGATAACACGATTCATAAAAATGAGCTTAGCACAGAAAATTATGTAAAACGAAATCAGCACCATGAAAAAGCACATAACAAAATGACATCAACAAATTCATACTTGTCGATAATTACATTTCTGATGAGGGAGTTATCTCTAAAATTTATACAAAACTCCAGTACCTCAACAACAAAAAGATTAATAATCCAGTTAAAAAATGGGCAGAAGACATGAGTAGATACTTCACCAAAGAGGATATTCAAGCAACCAGCAAATACATGAAGAAATGCTCATGATCATTAGATATCAGAGAGATGCAAATCAAAATATCAGTGAGATACCATCTCATTGCAGCACTAATGCCAAAGTTCAGCAAGACAGAAAATAACAAATCTGGTGAGGATGTGGAGAGATTGGGACTCTCATACATTCCTGGTGAGACTGTCAAGTGATACAACTACTTTGGAAAGCAGTATGGTGATTCCTTAAACAATTGTAATTAGAAATACCATTTGACCCAGCAGTCTCATTACTATGTATATATCGTAAAGAAGTGAAAGCCAGAACAAGAACAGATATATGCACACTCGTGTTCACTGCAGCACTATTTACAGTAGCAGAAAGATGTAAACAACCTAGGTGCCCATTAAAAGAAGAATGGATAACCAAACTATGGTACATGCACACAGTGGAATACTGGCAACACTAGAGAATAATGTAGAATCTGCAAAACACTGCATAACGTGGATGAAATTGGAGGACATTATGCTGAGTGAAAT